TAGGGTTTTAGGGTTTTAGGCTTTTAGGGTTTTAGGGTTTTAGGGTTTTAGGGCTTTAAGGTTTTAGTAGGGTTTTAGTAGGGTTTTAGTAGGGTTTTAGTAGGGTTTTAGTTTGTTTGTTAGTAGGGTTTTAGTGGGTTTTAGTAGGGTTTTAGTAGGGTTTTAGTTTGTTTGTTAGTAGGGTTTTAGTGGGTTTTTGTAGGGTTTTGGTAGGGTTTTGGTAGTGTTTCGTAGTGTTTTCGTAGGGTTTTCGTAGGGTTTTAGTAGGGTTTTAGTAGGGCTTTAGTAGGGGTTTAATAGGGTTTTGGTAGGGTTTTGGTAGGGTTTTGGTAGTGTTTCGTAGTGTTTTCGTAGGGTTTTCGTAGGGTTTTCGTAGGGTTTTAGTAGGGTTTTAGTAGGGTTTAGGGTTTTAGGGTTTTATCATGGGTTCCCCTACTACCCCCCCTCTATACTACCCCCCCTAGGTTCACCCTCCCCCCCCATAATTGAGGCTATTTAGGGAAAATGAGCCTAATTAAGGTTATTTAAGGGGGGGAACCTAGGGGGGGTAGTATAGAGGGGGGGTAGTAGGGGAACCCATGATTTTGGGGTTTTTCGGGTTTTCGGGTTTTAGGGTTTTAGGGTTTCAGGGTTTTAGGGTTTTAGGGTTTTAGGGTTTTAGGGTTTTAGGGTTTTAGGATTTTAGGGTTTTAGGGTTTTAGGGTTTTAGGGTTTTAGGGTTTTAGGGTTTTAGGGTTTTAGGGTTTAGGGTTTTAGGGTTTTAGGGTTTTAGGGTTTTAGGGTTTTAGGGTTTTAGGGTTTTAGGGTTTTAGGGTTTTAGGGTTTTACGGCCTTAGGGTTGTAGGGTTTGAGGGTTTTAGGGTTTGACACCTCCTTGGTGGCCCAGTGCTGCCCTCTTGCCACTTTTTTGCTTTTTCTTTATTTTTGTTTGGGGGGGGGGGGGGGGGGGGGGGGGGGGGGCAGGGTTAGGGCCCCTTGTAATGTAACCAACCCCCAAAAGTTAGGAACCCCAAGCCCTGAACCCTAAACCCTAGACCCCAAACCCTAAACCCTAAACCCTAAACCCTAAACCCTAAACCCTAAACCCTAAACCCTAAATCCTAAATCCTAAACGCTAAACCCTAAACCCTAAACCCTAAACCCTAAGCCCTAAACCCTAAACCCTAAACCCTAAACCCTAAACCCTAAACCCTAAACCCTAAACCCTAAACCCTCCCGAGCCCGAGCCGGCCAGGACAAGCTTTCTAGCATGCCTACTGAGCCAGAGGCTGGAGGGGTGTTTAGTGTTTAGGGTTTAGGGTTTAGAGTTTAGGGTGTAGGGTGTAGGGTGTAGGGTGTAGGGTGTAGGGTCTAGGGAAAATGCGACTTCCAATCTTTCTGGTCTAGGTTCCCTCCTAGGGCCCCTTTAAACCAAAAAGGGTACCATTTTTGATTCCTAGGTTACTCTTGGGACTAGGCGTGAGAGGTGTAGGGTCTAGGTTTCAGGGCTTTCCGTTTAACCCTAAACCCTAAACCCTAAACCCTAGGCCCTAATCCCTAGGCCCTAAACCCTAGGCCCTAAACCCTAAACCCTAAACCCTAAACTGGAAACCCTAAAGCCTAAACCCTAAACCCTAAACCCTAAACCTTAAACCCTAAACCGTAGCCACTCAACCCTGAACCCTGAACCTTGAACCCTAAAGCCTAAACCCTAAACCCTAAACCCGAAACCCTAACTGTTGAAGTCTACTCCTGTACATGTCATTCTGTAGTCAATTGCAGTGCGCATTTTTCCTTGTGGCTTCTAGGCCCAAACTCAAGCCTTGAGCATGCCACATACTTAAACCTGTACATATCATACTGTAGGAGCCGTAGCCCTACACTGCAGAGACCTTTTTTGTTCCTTTGTTGATCTGTTGCTTCTGCGCGTAAAAGATCTCCGCCTACTGTGTGAGCCATGGTTGGGAATGGGGCTAGGGAATTGATCACTCCACTAGTTCCTTCTGCTCAGCCTGCTGGTTCACACCAGCAGGTTATGAGCCCAACGCTTGGGCAGGGCTACGGCACCAATCTACTGCATCCATCTCCACCTCCCGGAGGGGATGGTTTGCAGCACTCAGGTTCAATGCCACCACGTGAATCAGGCCAGTCAGGTGCAGTGGGCCTTGAACCTAATACGGCTACGGGAGGGGCATTGGGAGGCACAGGCCAGCATGAATCATCGCGAGGTTCAGGGGAAGTGCCACCAGTGTCGACCACCAGTGAAGGTGGTGAGAGCGCACACCAAATTGTGCATGTGCCCGGCAACACACCGGGCGGGAGCCCAGGTCTGCAGACCAGCTGGAGCAGTCGCTGGGGACTCCCATGTTGAGGGGTTCCTTACCCCACGTTCCCAGCAAGGACAGGGTTTGCCCACTATTGCAGAAATGGTTGAGGGTTTCCCTGGGGCTGGGCTCCAGCTCATGTCAAGGGTTGGGGATTTTTTCAGAGTTGCCCGCACTGAGGTCATGCAAGTCCCGGTGTGGCAGGACTCACACGCAACGCCACCACGAAGTGCTACCCGCTCATTGGGTAGTCCGGGAGGTGCACCAGGGCAGTTAGCTTTGGGAGATGGGAGTTTGGGTTCTAATAGTGGGTCACCACCCCAATTGGGGCCACAAGGAACGCCAACGTCCTTTGCACCATCGCACCCCGGAAGGGAGGGCCCGCTACTGAACGCTGACATGCTGCAGCGCATGCAGGCTTTAGAACAAAGGGCCCCCCTGCTGTACGGTAATGTACCCGAAAGACCTCAATCGCGGACAGATTCATCATCTTTGCCTCAGGAAGCAATTCAAGCCGAGGTTGCTAGGCAGTTGGCAGGGTTTGATCAAAGGGCTCAGGCCCAGGACCTTGAGATCCAGCGTTTGAGGAGGCAACTAGACCAGGAGAAGGCCATGAGGGAGCAGTTGGCTAGGGAGGCGGCAGCTTCAAGCAGTGCCCCGCAAGCCCCCGCACCATCACAAATGCAGGTCCCCATTCCTCTCCAGGTGCCATCGTCGCAAGATGCTCAGGTCCACACCTCTGTGCAGGTGCAGGATGTTGCAGCGCCCGCGGTTGGTGCTTTGAGAGCGCCCGCTCAAGCTGCAGCAGCAGCCGCGTCTGGGTTTTGGTCCAACTTCTGGTCAGGGTTGCAGGGCTCCCATAGGTTGCCCAGCAGTGCAACCTCACCGGAAGGGTCGGGCAGTCCTACGACGCCGCACAGGTGAATTTGGCCTCTTCTGCCCCAAACCCCCCTTCTCAAGCCGAAAACCTGGGTCTGGGCCAGATCTGGCCTCAAGGCTCAGGAATGCCACAGGTGCCACAGGTGCAAGGTACACAGGTGCCCGCATCTCCACCCGGAGGGGTTGGGCCCGCTGCCTATGCACAGGTGCCACAGGTTTCAGGCGCAGCTACACAGGTGCCGCTTGCACAGGTATCAGGTGCCCAGGCCAGTGCAGCTCCAGGAGGAGCACCTGCAGCAAGTGCAACGCCGTGTGCAGCAGCTACCTCAGGCAATCCCATGATGGATGCCTTGTTTGCAGGAATGCAGCAGCTTCAAACCATGCAGGCGCAGGGCATGCGGGATAAGAGTGTTGTTAGCAACGCCCCTGAAGCCGTCAAGCCAGGCACTTCTGCACTTCCCATGCTGAAAGCTCCTGATCCGATGAGTGGTTCGTTGGATTTTCAGGATTGGTTGGAGTTAGTTGCAGGGTTGATGGGTGATTTGTCCGATTCCTCGCATGATTGGTGGACCGCAGTGCTGCAGGTGAGCCGTGACGCATATGAAAGGTGGGTTAAGGCTACTCCGCTCGATCGCATCAGGGTAGAGGTTGACGAGCGCCCGGAGCTGGTGGAGGGAAAGTGGTCCAGGGTCAACGCACGTGCGTGCGCCATGATTTTAGCAGCCCTAGATCAAGGGGTAAAAGCGGAAATGGTAGCTCGCAGGACCACTCAAGTAGCCACTCAAATCATGTTTCGGCTTTACACGTTGTATCAGCCTGGAGGTTCCACGGAAAAGGCATTGGTGTTGAATCACCTGCAAAATCCCAATGTTGTTCAGGATGTGGTGTCAGGTGTGTCCGCGCTGAGGGCATGGGGTAGGTGGCACAAGCGCTGCATTGACTGCGGTATGGTAGCCCCAGATCCTACAGTTCTTGCCGGTGCCCTCACCAAAATGACCAACCATATCCTAAGCCAAAATCCGGACCCTATGTTCCGAACTCAGATGGTTCGCAGCATGTTGCACATCGAGACTCACCCTTCGGAAGATGCGGTTCAGGAGTATCACAAGCACTTGTTAGCCGAGTTTGAAACCATGGCTGGGGCACAGATTGCCAAAAAGGGTGGGTCAGGCAACAGTGCCGCTCTGAAGGCCATTGACGCTACGGGGGGCAAGTCGGGGGGAAAAGGGGGGTGAAGCTAAGGGTGGGGGGAAGGGTAAGCCGTGCAAGTACTTTCTTACGCCTAAGGGGTGCAAGTTCGGTGCGAAATGCAAGGCCCCTCACTCCATGAGCGACCTGCCAGCGGCTGAAAGGTTTAAGAAGTGCCTAAATTGTGGCTCTGAGGAGCATCGCGTCAAAGATTGCAAGGCTGGAAAGGCCGAACCCAAGGCACTGGAGCAGAAGCCGTCAGTCCAGGCAGCCTCCACCTCCACATCATCCTCCGCGCCACCCGTTGTCCAGGCCACGCCTGTTCTATCCATGGATTCCTTCCTTCAGCATGCGTCCCACGCCTTGAGGCAGCTTGAAGCTGCGCATGTCACTCATGGGCAACAGCCGTCGCAGGGTCCAGTATCCACTGCGCCGGCCCCAGCGGCCCCCACTCCTGACGGAGGTGGCGTGCAGCAGCCTTCAAATCCATCCCTCAAAAGGCTCACAATACGCTCACTCATGCCTGCGAGCTGTTTCCCGGTTTCGGATCCCCAAACCGGGAGTTTTCCAGAGCCATCCGAGCCACCTTTCATTGGACATGCCCTTCTTGACTCAGGGGCCACTCACCCGATGCGGCAAGCCTCATCTGAGGAGGAATGGGAGGTCGCAGAGGAGGTACAGGTCAGTTTAGCCGGCGATCAAAGCACGTTCATGCGTTTGACCCGTGCTGGCACACTCCTCCTGCCTCCCGGGAGGGATGGCCCAGTGCAGCCAATAGTTCCTATGGGTGCCATCATCGAGCAGTTGGGGTATTCATTGAGTTGGTCCGCTGGTTGTTGCAAGCTCTATGCTCCAGATGGTAAGGTGGTTCGGCTCAGGGTTCGTAATGGGTGTCCCGAGGTGATGGAGAGCCAGGCCTTAACCATGATTTCCAAGTTGGAGGAGCACAAGCTGCAACAGGTTGATGAGCTGAGGAAAAGGACGCAGGAAGGAAAGGACAGGATTCGTGAGGCCCGAATCGCGTTGGACAAGACTTGGTGGGACCATCTGGTTGAGTACGCCCGAGATGGTAACCTCACCGCAGGGGAAATGGCTATTGCACAGGCTCCGTTCTTCAGTGAGGTTCCGGAGCAAGCGTTGCGTGGCATTCTCCCGTCGGAAGATGTGGACTCATTTTGGCGAGCGCTGTCCGAGGCCTTTCCCAACCTCAACAGGAGGAGGAGGAAGGCGCTACATCGTTCCACCAAATGGGTTGTTCACTTGTTTGCAGGCCCTCAACCCCATAAAGAGCTTCTCAAGCTGCAGTCGGATGGAACGGTGGTGGTGGAGTTGGACATCGCACGCTCCAGCATCCACAATCTGTACTCCGAACCACTTTGGAGGTTGTTGGTGAAAGCGGCGAGGGATGGGCGCATTGCAGCTGTGATTGGCGGCCCTCCTTGTCGTACCATGTCAGTTCTTCGGCACAAGCCCGGAGGTCCAAGGCCAGTGCGGTCCCCTGCTGAGCCGTATGGTCTGAGCGATCTTAGTGCTGCCGAGCGTGAGCTCGTAGACAATGACACGGGCCTGTTTGCACGGATGTTGTTCTTGCACGCATCTGCGACAGCCGGGAGGCGTGTCCATCGTCAATCGGCGGAACAATCGTCGCAGGTGGCATTCTTGCTTGAGCAGCCTCAGCCAGTTGACCGCTATCTGCCTCCGGGCCACACCTTGGTTGGTGAAGTCCCCTCGTTTTGGCACACGACTCTATGGCAGGCCTACGCCTCAGAGGCTGGCCTGTTCGAGGTCGACTTTGACCAAGGTGCGTTGGGCCATGTGACCACGAAGCCAACCACCATTGGCACGAACCTCCCTGACCTGAGGGGCTTGCACGGCCTCCGGGAGGAGAGTCCTAAGCCAGCGTGGACAGGCGACTCAAAGGACTTAGCCGCGTGGGCGCCGCGCTTTGTTAGAGCCATAGTGCAAGCACTACAGTGTTGGCCCCGCTACCAGCTATGCCGCATGAGTCCCGAGGACTGGCAACTACATGTAGAAAATAACCACGTTCCATACCGTAGGGATTGTGGGGTTTGCGTACGTGGCGCCGGCACCGGCCGTAGGCATCAAGGAGTCGCACATCCTGATGTCTATTGCCTGTCTGCCGACGTGGCTGGACCCATCAGGGTCCCCGCAAAAGACCCCGAAGGTAGGAGCAAGCATCCGCCGGTGTTCCGGTACTTCTTAGCGGCGTCGTATCGTTTTCCTAAACTCCAGGGGACAAAGGACGAACCCAACCCAACGCAGGTTGATGGGTTCGATGACCCTTCACTCCACCCTGGCGGGGAGGACGAGTTAGCTGATGTTGTTGTGGAAGGCCCGCCGGAGCCAGAACACCACCCTGACGGGGAGGACGTACTGCCTGAGGATTGTTTAGGATATTGTCCTACAAGTGACGAGTCCGATGCTCCACGCGTTGCAGCTGCGAAGGCCAAGGCCAAGGCCAAGGATAAAGCCCACAAACCCAAGGAAGAGCACCCTTGGGAGCACGCTAAGTGTGACTTTGAAGCTCCGCCCGGTTTAGCTAGGTTGGTGTTTGTTGTTCCGTTACACACGAACAAGAGTGAAGCGGTGCTAGAAGCACTGCAACAAGTGTTCCTGGAACTGCGCTCGTTGAACCTTCCTGTGTTGCGTTTCCACTCGGACAGAAGTCGGGAGTTCTTTAACAAAAGGACCCGTGCTTGGTTCCATGAGCATGGCGTGCGCACCACAACTGGGGAAGGAGACACGCCGCAGCAGAACGGAGCAGCCGAAAACACTATCCGTTGGCTAAAGGCTAGGGCACGCACGCTTCTGGCACAGGCCGAGGTTGGAACGGAGCACTGGGCTTGTGCAATGGCCACGGCAGCATCGCAGCAACGAGCGCAACAGCTAGGCCTCAAGTCTAAGCTTGCCGCGCCGTTTGGGGCGCCGTGTTCCGTGAAGCTCAAGTTTTACGGACCTTCTAGGGGTGACTTAGGGGATAGGTGGGTAGAGGGCAAGTACATGGGTTTGTCGCCTTCTGTCAATGATGGCCACGTCGTCCTACGCAATGATGGAGTGGGGAACGGCTTTCTCCAAACACTCCACGTGCGCTCACGCCTCCACTCGCCAGAAATGCCCGACCGTGTGTATGAGGGCGATGTGAGGGAGCCCGCGCCGCTCGAGCCAGCAAGGCGTGTGCGTGGGAAGTCTGCGCCAGCAGCTGGTGAGGCACCCTTGCCGCCGCCGCCCGTTCCGCCGCCGGAAGGTGAGCGTGCGTCGGAACCTGCCTTACCTCCACGTCGCGTCCGACTCCGTGAGAAGTCAAGCCTCGCAGTTCGTGAGTCCCGGTTGTCACCACTACCTGACGGTGAGTGTCCGCCTGAGCAAGCCTTGCCTGAAGGTTTAGGTGTAGTGGGTGAAGCCGTTGAGGAGGAGTTTAGGGCTAGCCGGTTTAGTGTTGTGGACCTTGAGGGTTTTGCCAAGGAGTTGCTGCTTGAAGACTGGGACCTCGAAGAGGCCATGTGGGTCTTGGTCCAGTTCAGCCGTCTGCAGTCCCTTAAGGCCGGCCTTTACCGACATGGTGGTGTAGTAGGCACCACAAGCGTTACAAACTCCCACTCTTGGCTCACAGAGCTTATGGCAGCGACGCTTCTGTCTGTAAGCCCAGAGGCCGAATTCACAAGTCTTTGGCTCTCAAACACTAACCCCATGTCCCTGCATGCAGACCATAACAACGTAGAAGGGTCTGTTAACGTAGTCCTTCCACTCAAGCTCCCTCCTGAAGGAGGAGACTTGTGGGTAGAACTGCGAGCAGGAGATGTCCTCCACGGGCCTGTTGAGCAAAGAATTGACGGTGCAGGAAAGAAGTGGTTGGGCACAACGCACAGCCTGCAGAGAGGCAAGCCCTTCTACCTTGACCCCAAACGCCGTCATGCAACCACTCCTCTTGAAGGTGAAAGGGTTGTGCTCGTAGCATACACTGTAAACACCTTAGGGAAAGTCCCAGAGTCTGAGCTTCAAGCCCTGGAGTCCTTAGGCTTTCCGCTCCCTGCCTCAGCGCGCTTACCACTCACGACGCAGCAAGATGTAAGGCGCCTAGACGTGTTTGACATGTTCGAGGAGGGCCCCTTAGAGCTCGCAAGTGAAGACAGCTCAAGGGAAGCGCAGAAAGTAGACAAGGGCGGGGGTTGGAAGGAGACTCAAAAGGTTGAGGCTGGAACTGTAGAGCTAGAGGTGTCATGGAACCTCAAGCACACCCCAGACTCTCACACAGCGCAGCGCGAGCAAGCATTCTGCGCTTTGCAGACCCTGGAGCCACAACCCCCCACACAGGTCGAGGAGGAGCCTTGGCCAGAGCAGCCAGTGCAGTGGGAACTCTCCTTTCCAAACCCACAGACGGGTGAGTGGCTGTGTGCACTCCGGTCTGACGACCTGGACCCGCGTCTTTGCAAGTCCGAGCCAGTGTACACCCCGGACATTGAGCAGCTGCTAAGTGGTCTAACTGAGCCACTGCAGATAGTTCACACTGTTGACCCGCGAGAGGCGGAAAAGCACAGTGAGGAGTGGCTCCCGTCAGTCCACAAAGAGATCGGGGTCATAGAAAAGGCTGTGCACCGTTTGCCGCCTGGTGAGGTGCGAAAAGGGAACTGGCTTCACCGCACTGACGTGAGGGTCGTACCGGCAAAGATGGTTTTCACAGTCAAACCGCCTGATGTGCAAGCTATCGCGCCCGGGAACGGGGAGCACGCAGCTCAGCCAAGCTTATTTAAACGCAAGGCGAGGCTTGTTGCGTGTGGAAACCATGCCCCTTCCACTGGCACCGAAATCTACGCGTCAGGCGCTGCAGCAGAGTCACTTCGTTGCTTGGTGGTCATTAGCTCGAAGAGGCGTTGGATGCTAGGCATCTTAGATGTCACCTCAGCATTCCTCCTGACGCCCATCCCTCAGGGCGAAGGGTTTCCTGTGTTTGCTCTAACACCGCCACGCTACCTTGTGCGACAAGGTCTTGCGCAGGAGGGAGAGCTCTGGATCCTCACACACGCCGTCTATGGCCTCAGGGAGTCACCAAAGCTGTGGTCAGACTTTAGGGATTCCCAGCTTTTGGCCCTTAGATGCGTGGTCAACGGAGTTGAGTTGCAGCTACTCAAGGGCAAGTTAGACACGAACTGGTGGCGCATCGTGCAAACCAGTGATGGACAAGTCGTGGGAGGTTTAATCACCTACGTCGATGACTTCCTACTTGCTGGCTGTGTTGAAGTCATCGAGGCCCTCGCCAAGGCCATCCAGTCGATCTGGAAAACAACCCCCCTCACACTTGCGTCGCCCAGTCAGCCACTGAGGTTTTTAGGGGTTGAGATCCTAGTGCAGGGTTTAGGGTTTGTTCTGTCGCAGCAGGCCTACGCAGAGGAGCTGCTACGCCTCAACAACGTCAAGCCCACTGCGCTGGGTAAGATCCCTTGCCCAAGGGACTTAGTGTCTTTCGACACTCTCCTGACGGATGAGTCCCCCGCCGAGGAGTCAGTTCGTACAGCCCAGAGGCTGACCGGAGAAATCTTGTGGCTGAGCCAGCGCACGAGACCAGATCTCGCGTTCACCGCTTGTGTTCTTGCTACGTTGAGCACAAAGGCTCCTGAAAGGGCTGCACGCATCGCTGAAAGAGCACTTGCCTACGTGCAGCAAACCAAAGCCTTTGCTCTCACTGCTGACGCAGATGACACAGGCCTAGTGGCATACAGCGATGCCTCTTTTGCGCCAGACGGTAACCGCTCGCACACCGGCTGGGTAGTCTTCTTGCACGGATCGCCTGTCTGCTGGCGTTCGGCCAGGCAGGCGTTTGTCACACTCAGCACTGCAGAGTCCGAGCTTGTCGCAGGACTTGATGCTGTCGTTGCATTGCAGTCAGCAGAGGCCATGCTGGGTGAGTTTGGGGTCGTTAACTTAGGTAAGACCTTGAGGGTTGACTCACAGTCTGCGCTTGCCATCGCCATTGGCCAAGGTTCTTGGCGAACCCGCCACCTGAGGGTGCGCGCCAATTATCTCAGGGAGCAGTATGAGACGGGCGAGATCATTCCCGTTTACTGCCCAGGTGTAGAGCAAGCCGCTGACCTTCTCACCAAGGTGCTCCCATCTGCAAGGATCAGTGAGCTCTTAGCGATATGGGGCTTGCTTGAGCACAGCCCGCAGTCCACTCCACAGGTGAGGTCTCTTTTTGCAGAGCCCCGTGCAGCGGAAGCTGGCACTGTCACTCAGACCGATCAGCATTTGAGAGCACTAGCGGTTTTGCTAGCATTTGCACAGGTTATAGGCGCTGCCAGTCAGGAGGACGAAGAGCCCGAAGATCTGTCGCTCCCAGTTCCCTTGGACGCCGACCTGATGCTTGCAGTGTGCATTTTCGGTATTGCTTTTTGCGCCGTTGTTTTGTGGGAGTTTCTGAAGTGGAGTTTTGCCCTCTTCTCCCGCAGGGCCTTTGGCACAAGCAGTGTGTTGCTAAGCCCGCGCAAGGCACGTAAGTTGCAGCTTCTTAGGGAACGCACGGAGCAAGCAATCCGGGCAGAAATCTCTGAGAGGGAAGCAGCGGGCAGTTCCTCACAGCGTCTTGTGACCGCTTCCGGGAGGAATGCGCCAGCTTCCACTAGGCAGGCCGATGAAGCACCAACTCGTTTCTTTGCAACGCTAGAGGGCAACACGCTTCATCGCACCAAGGCCTGTTCCACACTTGCCCGTTCGCACAAGTTTGTTGTGTTTGAAGTCTGCCAGCAGTGCCACAGGAGCCAGGCAGATTGCACGCAGCATAGCGCACGTTAGGGCATCCGCCGCCCTGACGGGTAGGTTGCGCGCTCCATTGAGCAGGCCTGCCAGCAGTGCTTTCCTTTTGCAAAGAGGTGCCGTGAGAGCCCTCGCACTCTGAGGCCAGCCGGCCAGCTACAGCCTTTCCTTCGGTAGGAGCCCGTACCTCCTCCCGGAAGGGATGGACATGTACAGGTTTTGTTTGTCGCAATACCCTGGCGGTGTTGCGAAGGAGGAGTGTTGAAGTCTACTCCTGTACATGTCATTCTGTAGTCAATTGCAGTGCGCATTTTTCCTTGTGGCTTCTAGGCCCAAACTCAAGCCTTGAGCATGCCACATACTTAAACCTGTACATATCATACTGTAGGAGCCGTAGCCCTACACTGCAGAGACCTTTTTTGTTCCTTTGTTGATCTGTTGCTTCTGCGCGTAAAAGATCTCCGCCTACTGTGTGAGCCATGGTTGGGAATGGGGCTAGGGAATTGATCACTCCACTAGTTCCTTCTGCTCAGCCTGCTGGTTCACACCAGCACTAACCCTAAACCCTAAGCATCCCTAAGCCCTAAACCCTGTCTTTGTTTTCGTGTGTCTAGTAGGTATGCTTTCTGCAGTATTCCTTGGAATGGGGTGTAGAGTCAGGGTTTGTACGGTTTAGGGTTTAGGATTTCGGGTTTAGGATTTCGGGTTTAGGCTTAAGGGTTTAGGGTTTGGGGTGAAGGGATCAAGCCGCCTGAGAACAGATCCAGGCCGGCAGCAAGCCCGGAAGCAAACCCGGCAGCAAGCCGCCCAGCAAGCCGCCTCTCGGCCCTTGTAAGGCTTCCGGTTTCCTTTAGGGCTTAGGGATTCAGGGTGTAGGGTTCAGGATTTAGGGGTTTAGGGTTTAGGGGTTAGGGTTTAGGGTTTGGGGTTTGGGGTTTGGGGTTTAGGGTTTAGGGTTTAGGGTGAGAGTTCAGGATTCGCAGTTCAGCGCTACAGGGCTTCGGGTTTCTTAAGGGTTTAGGGTTAAGGGGATTCAGGAAGCAGGACTTGACAGCCCTAAACCATAAACCTTAAACCCGAAGTCCTTGAACCGACATCGTTTTTAGGTGTTTCCCAACCATGCTCGGGTCCTGTACCCCCCCCCCCCCCCACCTACTCCTCCAAGCGAAGCGCTGAACCCTAGGACCCTAAACACACTAAGGCCGTACAAAACCTTTAACGCCCCCAGAAGCCCGACACTCCAAACCCACATATATAAACCCCAAACCCTACATCCTAAACCGCAGCTTATTCTACCCTTCAATAAGGGCTCTTAGGTTATGCAATCATCGGCTTCTTAAGGGAGGGGGTTCAAGGGAGGTTTAGGGTTTAGGGCTCAAAGAGGGTATGTAACCCAAGGTTCCCGAATACTCGGCACAACTCCCGAAGGCTCCCAAAGCTTCTTTAAGGTTCCTTTGGTGCCTACCCCCCCCCCCCCCGGTTTAGGGTTTAGGGTTTAGGGTTAGGGTTTAGGGTTTAGGGTTAGGGTTTAGGGTTTAGGGTTTAGGGTTTAGGGTTTAGGGTTATCTTTGAGACTTGTGGTTGTAACTATGGCTTGGCACGAAACGACATCCGTGTGATCTGTACTGAGGCCAACCTTATCGCAACACGTGGATTTGTCAAATCCATACGAAGTCCTTGGTAACGATGAACGTGACTGCCATTGCCTTCCGGCGGATTTGATCATAATGTCAGCCAAGCCAAAAGAGGCCCCCTGATACAAGGAGTATACGGAGAGGCATATTACTGCAAGGGGAGATTTTCTTGGATCCAACATGGCCCCCCTACTTTGGGCTAAGTGAGCTTTAGGTTACGGTTTAGGGCTTTATGGTTTAGGGTTTAGGGTTTAGGGCTCTTGGGCTTTAGGGCATGGGGTTTTGGAGATTGAGGGTTTCAGCCGATGGGTTTAGGGGCTTAGGGTTTAGGACCAGGACCCAGAGAAGGCCCTTGTTTCCTCTTTTTTAGGCATTAGGTTCCCTTAACAGACCCGTGAAAACAAAAGGGCACCCTTTTTATTCCTAGGTTACACTTGGGTCTAGTTACCGTCACAGGGCTTCAGGGTTTCAAGCTACCCTAAACCCTAAACCCTAAACCCTAAACCCTAAACCCTAAACCCTAAACCCTAAACCCTAAACCCTAAAGCCTAACCCCTATTTAGGGCTTTGGGATTTACGCTCCCGGGCGCGCTGGTGGGCCCAGGCCTAGCAAGCCTGGCAGCAAAGAAGTGCCCGCAGAGGCAGGGAGTTTTTGAGATTTAGGGTTTAGGGTTTAGGGGTTTGGGTTTAGGGTTTAGGGCTAATTAAGGCCAAGCCCTAAAGCCCAAGGAACTCTAAACCCGAAACCCTAAACTCTAAATCCTAAAACGTGAACCTAAATGTTTCTCCGGAAACCAAAATATTACCATGACCCGAAGCCCACACCCCTTAATATACAACGACGATGGCCGTTATACTACCTCAAGGACCTTGTTAAAGTATCCCCAAAACCCAAGGGTACAACCTCAAGGGTCCAAGGTACAATCCCCCTAAACCCTAAACCCTAAACCCTAAACCCTAAACCCTAAACCCTAAACCCTAAACCCTAAACCCTAAACCCCAAACCCCAAACCCCAAACCCTAAACCCTAAATCCTCAACCCTAAATCCTAAATCCTGATCCCCTGCAGAAGCCCCCGAAGCCGAGACCCTGTCCAGGCTCCTCCCGAGGCGGAAGAGGAAGAAGACCTGGACCGACCTTGCTTCCGGGGTGAAGAGTCCCAAGCCCAAAACCCCAAGCCCTAAGCCCTAAACCCTAAACCCTAAACCCTAAACCCTCAACCCTCAACCCTAAACCCTCAACCCTAACCACTAAGCCCTAAAGGGTTGAAAGCTTGGGGGGGCTTACGGGGCTTTAGGGGTGCTTCAGGGATCTTCACTGGGGGGTCTGGAGTCCCAGGGCTGTTTTTGTGTTCCCAAACCTGGAAAACGTAAACCCATAGACCCAAAACCCTAGGCCCTAAACCCCTGGGTTGAGGGTTTAGGGTTTAGGGTTTAGGGTTTAGGGTTAGGGCTTCAACCCGAGGCTGTTTCTTTAATGGGGGGGTGGGTGGGTTATGAGGGTTGGGGAGGAGTGGCGGTGGGCCCGTAGTCCTAAAGCCCGCATGCCAATCTTCGTCCTAAAGCCCTCGAGCCAATGTATCCCCAACAAATCCTTTGAGTCCTTCAAGGGAAGGGGTTTCCTTAAAATTAGGGTTCGGGGTTTAGGGTGCAGGTTTTTGGCACCTGGTGTGCGATTTCTGCGATGAGGGTTGTTGTTTTCCTAAACCCTAAACCCTTTATAAACTTTAAACCCGAAGCCCTAAACCCTAAACTTTAAACCCTAGACCCTAAACTTCGAACCCTGAACTTCAACTTTAAACCCTAAACTTGAAACCCTAAACCCTAAACCCTCAACACTAAACCCCTAAACCCTAAACCCTAAACCCTAAACCCTAAACCCTAAACCCTAAACCCTAAACCCTAAACCCTAAACCCTAAACCCTAAACCCTAAACCCTAAACCCTAAACCCTAAACCCTAAACCCTAAACCCTAAAACCTAAACACTAAACCCTAAACCCTAAACCCTAAACCCTAAACCCTAAACCCTAAACCCTAAACCCTAGGAGAGCGAGCCGGAGCCCCCGGAGCCCGAGCCGACCTTAAAAGACATCCTCGAGGCCAGGGTTTAGGGTTTAGTGTTTAGGGTTTAGGGTTTAGGGTTTAGGGTTTAGGGTTTAGGGTTTAGGGTTTAGGGTTTAGGGTGTAGGGTTTAGGGTGTAGGGTTTAGGGTTTAGGGGTTAGGGGTTTAGTGTTTAGGGTTTAGGGTTCAGGGTTTAGGGTTTAGGGTGTAGGGTTTAGGTTTTAGGGTTTAGGGTTTAGGGTTTAGGGTTTAGGGTTTAGGGTTTAGTGTTGAGGGTTTAGGGGTTTAGGGTGTAGGGTTTAGGGTTTAGGGGTTAGGGGTTTGGGGTTTAGGGCTTAGGGTTTAGTGTTGAGGGTCTAGGGTTTGGGGTTTCCATAAAAGAGCCTCAAAGAAGTGCCAAATGAGACCCTTACGATCTTTCAGGGTTAAGGATGAGTTTAGGGTTTAAGGTTTAGGGTTTAGGGTTGTGATAGGATGGGGTTGTTACAATTTTTTATTTTTTTTATGGGGCCTTTGTAGGTGTTTAAGGGTTTCTAGGTGTTGTTGGGTTGTTATAGGATGTGTTACCTGGTTTTTATAGGGTTTGTACGGGGTTTATCGTTTCGGGCCCCTGTGCGTTTCCATTTGTTTTTGGTTTTGGTTCGGGAGGGGGGTGGTGGCCCTTAGCGCCTTCGAGTGTTTTAGGGTTGCTTAAGTTCATGTAGGCGTTTAGGCTTTTTGGGGCGTTTGGGGTTTTCAGGGCTATTGAGGTTCTTAGGGTTTTAGGGCTTTTTGTTGCTCAGGGTGTGGTGTTGAGGCTTTTGGGAGCTTAGACCCAAACCTAAACCCACAGGGTTCGGCTTCAGGGCTATGTTTGATTGCAGAGGCGAGCTGGACCTTAAACCCCTCCTTCGAAGGCCATTCTAGTGGACGAGGGGGAGAGCATCGAGTACGAGCTGGATCCAGTGCCAAGCTGAGAGCACTGCACCCTAAACCCCAAACCCTAAACGCTAAACCCTGAACCCTGAACCCTGAACCCTGAGCTGTAAGCCCTAAGCCCGAAGCCCCTAAGCCCAAGCTATAAACCCTAGGCCATAGGCTCGAATCCACAAAGTCAAGCCCAAAACTCCTAAGAGATAGCCGCCACATCGTTCGGTGAAGGGTTTGTCTACCAGCATCTGCTAGAAGTTCATCAAGGATTTTGCGAGCATGTGCTAGACTACTCTGCTTTTTTGTTGAAGGTTTGTCACAAGGGCAGTGCCTAGACACCCTAGTAGCTTCCTAGTATTATCTGGTTGTGCCGATGTTCCGATCCTGCTGTACCCCGAGCCCTGTCAATCCTGATGATACCTAATCCCTGAACGCCTTGAAGCCTAAATCCGAATGAACCCCTGAAACCCCGAATCCGAATAAGCTCTAAGCCCCGAACTGAATCCTAAACGCTATGAGCCCTAAGCCCCTAAACCCTACAAGGTTTAAGGTTAGGGTTTAGGGTTTAGGGTTCAGGGTTCAGGGTTTAGGGTTTAGGGCTTAGGGTTTAGGGTTTACGGTTTAGGGTTTAGGGTTCAGGGTTCAGGGTTTAGGGTTTAGGGTTTAGGGTTCATGAGGATTAGAGGGTTTACAGGGCTAGCTGGGACTCCGGTTGCTTCTACCTCCTGTAGGTGCCAATGCTCGCCCAACGTGATCCGCACACGGGGGTGAAGTCCATCGCTCATGATGAGGCTTTCGGCTTTGCCGGGGGGGGGGGGGGGGGGGGGATGATTAAAGGTTTAGGGTTACAGGGTTTATGTCTCATGGGTTGAGGGCAGGGCTTGGGGTGCGAGGGATTTCGGGGTGTGAAGTTACTTGGTTTAGGAGTTTGAGATGAGTTTGAGCTGAGGCCACGGCCGTTTTTGGATGTTGAGGCGGTTCAGGGTTGAGGGTTTTTGTGGGGGCAGGAGGGGTTTCTGCGGGCAGCTGCCATATGCAGCCCTGCCCAAGTAAAGCGAGCCATCTTTGGGGTTTAAGGTGTAGGAAAGAGTGCATAAGCGGACCAAAGTAAGGAATACTCCTGAACCTTGAACCCCAAACCTAAAAGGGCCCTTCCTAATCGCCACTTGCTTTCGAAGCCCTGAAGTTGCGCCCCTAAACCCGAAACCCTAAACCCTAAACCCGAAACCCTAAACCCTAAACCCTAAACCAGGCTAGCATCCAAGGCAGTCCCATGAGCCACAATTTTCCAAACCCCTAAGCCCTAAACCCCAAACCCTAAACTCCAATCCCTACACCTCTGTGGGCATTGGGGCAGGGCATCATGATCTTGATGCTACCCGATGGCCAGTCCAGCGCTTAGCGCCTCTGGGTTTAGGGTTTAGGGTTTAGGGTTCAGATTTAGGGGTTTAGGCGTTCGCTCGGGTTTGCAAGGTAGGGGCGTTAAGGGCTTAGGGTCCGTGATTGTTGCGGACGAGACCAAGATCCAGGGCACGAAGAGCCCCATGAAGCTAATAATGGCCGACGGCTTCAAGATCTTCCATGGCGACAGCTCCGAGCAGAGACGTTGGCAAGCTGGCAGGCGCTCCATACACCCTAAACCCTAAACCCTAAACCCTAAACCCTAAACCCTAAACCCTAAACCCTAAACCCTAAACCCTAAGCCCTAAGCCCTAAGCCCTAAACCCTCTAGGACCCAGAGTAGGCCCTTATGCCCTGTCTTTTTAGTGTTCGGGCTCCCTTACAGGCCCCTTTAAGCTTAAGCTTTGTCGTAGTTGGGTAACATTTTACATTTTTAAGGGTACTTAAACCCAATAAGGAATATAATTTTAAAATTTTAATACTATCCCAACCATGAACTAGTAAGCACAGTTTCGGTGCCCTTTGCTGTTCCTGGGTTACTCTTGGGTCTAGATACCTGATACCTAGAGGACGCAAGCCTGAACAAGACAAGTTTAGGGGTTTTGGGGCTCCTTGGCTTGCAATTCTAAGGTTTAGGGTTTAGGGTTTAGGGTTTGGGGTTTAGGGTTTAGGGCAGGGTGGAGCGATTGTTTTGGAATCCAGGGGTTCTTAGGGTATTTCTTGGGCTCTAGGTACGGTTATCACTGCCCTGCATAAGGATAAACTAGTTATAAAACATAGGGCAGTGCTCTAAACTAGGGTCCCTTTTGGGGGGGTCCTTTTTAAAGGGTGCCGCCTTATAGTGGGTACCCAAAAAGGGGCACGACTTTACAGAACTACTTATAGTTAACCCTACTTCTAGCCCTATGGGGTTTAGGGTTCAGGGTGTAGGGTGTACTTAGGGTTTACTGTCCAAATTCTAGGGTTTAGAGTTTAGGGTTTAGGGTATAGGGTTCAACCCTGCACCTGAGTTCACGGTGTAGGGTTTCGGGCTGAGGGTTTAGGGTTTATAGGCTTAGGGTTATCTAGGGCTGGGTCTGTGCTACAGCGTGGGCCCTAATCAGGTGCCCCTCAAAAGAGCCTTTGCCAAGGTCGAATGTCTGCCTTCTCCCGGACGGCACGCGCATCATCAACACTGGCAGCGATGAGGGTAACGAGGCGGGGGTTTACGAAAATAGGGGACCCCCGAAATAGACCTAAAAGAGTAGGATTCCCTTATAATGAGGACCCCAACACGGTACCCCCCCCCCCCCCCCCCCCCCCCCCCCCCCCAATTGCGGAAACCACCAGGTGGGTTTGCGGCTGTCTTCGCATAGAAAAGGGCGTGGTGCTTCGAGCTTGTTCAGGGTTTTACCGAAGCCCAAAACCCACCAAACCCTAGCCCTAAACCCTAAACCCGAATCAAACCCTAAACCAAAAAGTGCACCATTTTAGATTCCCAGCTTACTCTTGGGTCTTGGAAGGTTTGGGATAGGGATTGCCACTGCGAAGGGGTTTGGGGGCTTTCGGGGCTCCCAGGGGTGACGGTGTTTAGGGTTTATAGTATTATAGTATTATGGTAATATAGTAATATAGTAATATAGTAATATAGTAATATAGTAATATAGTAATATAGTAATATAGTAATATAGTAATATAGTAATATAGTAATATAGTAATATAGTAATATAGTAATATAGTAATATAGTAATATAGTAATATAGTAATATAGTAATATAGTAATATAGTAATATAGTAATATAGTAATATAGTAATATAGTAATATAGTAATATAGTAATATAGTAATATAGTAATATAGTAATATAGTAATATAGTAATATAGTAATATAGTAATATAGTAATAGTAGTATAGTAATATAGTAATATAGTAATATAGTAATATAGTAATATAGTAATATAGTAATATAGTAATATAGTAATATAGTAATATAGTAATATAGTAATATAGTAATATAGTAATATAGTAATATAGTAATATAGTAATATAGTAATATAGTAATATAGTAATAGGGCCTGTTGTGGTTTAAATTTAAATACTGAACTTTAAACCCTAAACCCTAAGCCCTACTCTGCAACCCCTTAACCCTACGACCCTTAACCCCATCCTTGTTTAGGGTTAGGATATTAGGGTCCTTGTGCAGGTTAGGAGCAAAATGAGGTACCCCTAGACGGGACCCTGAAGGGTTTAGGGCTTGGTTCCCCCATATGACCCCTTCAAATACCTTACATACGGACTACATACCTAAGTAGCCCCCCAAATATCCCCTAAACCCGAAACCCGAAAACCCTAAGCCCTTACAAGGGTCCCAATTTAGGGTCCTTGAGCAGGTCACTGTCGAGTCGGAGGGCTCCGCACGTGTCACCTGCTTCGTGAAGGACCTGTTTTTGTGTTAGGGCTGAAGGCTTAGGGCTTAGGGCTTAGGGCTTGGGGCTTAGGGCTTAGGGCTTAGGGCTTAGCGCTTAGGGCTTAGGGCTTAGGGCTTAGGGCTCAGGGTCTTAGGGCTCAGGGTCTTAGGGCTTAGGGCTTTGGGCTTGGGGCTTAGGGCTTAGGGCTTAGGGCTTAGGGCTTAGGGCTTAGGGCTTAGGGCTTAGGGCTCAGGGTCTTAGGGCTCAGGGTCTTAGGGCTTAGGGCTTTGGGCTTTGGGCTTAGGGCTTAGGGCTTAGGGCTTAGGGCTGAAGGCTTAGGGCTGAAGGCTTAGGGCTTAGGGCTTAGGGCTTAGGGCTTAGGGCTTAGGGCTTAGGGCTCAGGGCTCAGGGTCTTAGGGCTCAGGGTCTTAGGGCTCAGGGTCTTAGGGCTTTGGGCTTAGGGCTTAGGGCTTAGGGCTTAGGGCTGAAGGCTTAGGGCTTAGGGCTTAGGGCTTAGGGCTTAGGGCTTAGGGCTTAGGGCTTAGGGCTTAGGGCTTAGGGCTTAGGGCCCAGGGCTGAGGGCTGAGGGCTTAGGGCTTAGGGTTTAGGTTTTAGGGGTTAAGGGCCCTCAACCCTCAAAGCCCTTAAGCCCGAAGGCCCTAAATGCCTTTCAACCCTGGAGCCCTTACAAATTTTCAGAGGACGACTTTCTGGGTTTAGGGTTGAGGGTTGAGGGTTCCCAGTAGGGAATGAGGGAAGGAGGTACCCTAGAAAAATCTGTCAAAGGAAGGTTGTAAGGCACTTAATTTCCTCCTTCCCTACAAAGAACCAGGCGAGACCCTCTTTAAGTTGACAGGCAAGGAAGCCCCAAAAACCCAACAACGCAGAATCGAACCTGCCGAAGCTGTTCAGGGTTTAGGGTTAGGGATGTTTAGGGTTTAGTATATGGTTTGGGGTCTAGGGGTTAGGGTTTAGTTTTTGCCTTTTTTGGGGTTTAGGGTTTGGGGTTTAGGGTTTAGGGTTCAGTTTTATGGTTTAGCTTTTAGTTTATGGTTTGGGGTTTGAGGTTTAGGGTTTTAGCGTTTTATGTTTCAGGGTTTAGGGTCTACTCACCTGCAGCACGATGGTGGAACTAAATATCCCAAAAGCGCTTTGCCCAAATTGCCCAGTTTCACAGTTCAAGTCGCGGATGCCACTGTAGTACCCTTCTCCCCTTTTTTGGGAGGTTTAGGTATCCTTCTCAACCCCTTTAAGCAAACAAGGGCAGCTATTTTATCCGAGGTTACTGGGCAACCCCCTAGAAGTGGTTTAGGGTTTAGCGTTTATAGGGTTTGGGGTTTAGGGTTTAGGGTTTAGGTTTAGGGTTTAGGGTTTCGGGTTTAGGGTTTAGGGTTAGGGTCTGCGTAGTCACCTCTGGCACCATTTTGGATCCAGGTACCCCAAGCGCGCTTTACCCAAACCTTCCCCTCGCTGTAGGACAAGGCGTATGTACCCAGCTCTTCGGTCAAGGCCAGCTGGGGCGATTCAGGGGTGTTGGTTGTGGGTGTAGGGTTTAGGGCTTCGGGTTTAGGGTTTAGGAACCCTAAACCCTAAACCCTAAACCCAAAACCCTAAACCCTAAACCCCAAACCGTAAACCCTAAACCCTAAACCCTAAACCCTAAACCCTAAACCCTAAACCCTAAACCCTAAACCCTAAACCCTAAACCCTAAACCCTAAACCCTCCGAGTCCCCGTCAGCCCACGTCGGCCTTTTGTCGTTTTCCAGCTCTACCACTGGGAGGGGCCTGGGCCGGAACTGATGAGAAAGTAATACCCTAATGCCTAAACCCTAAGCCCTAGACCCTAAACCCTAACCCTAAACCCTGAACTCTACAACTAAGGTCACTTAGGAGGTGTAATATAGGGGTCGGAATAAGTATTCCCTGATGGTCCCTTTATATAACTATACTATAATCACCCCCCAAAACCCTATTCTAATTTTTTGTCGGTGGTTTTGGGGTCCCTAATAAAATACGGCACCGAATTTAGGGTACCCCAAAAGGGATCATCATTTTGCCAACCAGCTACTAAATTAGGAAGTGCGCATGTGAGACCCCTAAACCCTTTATAGCCCCTTTCTATATCCCATAGGCCCCAAATCCACTCCAGTGTTCAGGTTTTGGGAGTTGTGGATATTGAGGTATTGGGTCTGAGGGCTTAGGGTTTAGGTTTTGGGGTTTATCCAAGGGAAAGTTGCATGGTCCCTTTTTATGGGCCCTCAATTGGGGGGCCCCTGATATAACCTTCAACTACCCTTATCAAGGTATGAAGAATGGAACCCCTAAGGTTGTACCCCTAAACGATCCCCTTAATGTACTCCTAATATGGCCCGGTCCACAAAACCCAAGGGCACAACCTTCAGGGTCCAAGGAACCGTAAACCCGAAACCCTAAACTCTAAACCCTAAGCCCTAAACCCTAAACCCTAGCCCTAAACCCTAAACCCTAAACCCTAAACCCTAAACCCTAAACCCTAAACCCTAAACCCTAAACCCTAAACCCTAAACCTAACCCTAAACCCTAAACCCTAAACCCTAAACCCTAAACCCTAAACCCTAAACCCTAAACCCTAAACCCTAAACCCTAAACCCTAAACCCTAAACCCTAAACCCTAAACCCTAAACCCTAAACCCTAAACCCTAAACCGCAGACCTTAGAGTTAAGTTCAACGCGCGCATGTTCCAAGCAGCCGACCCCACTAACTTCAGCACAGGTCGCCCTTCCGCACTGCGATTTAGGGTTTAGGGTTTAGGGGTGGGCCTCAATCAAACAACCATGAATGCCATTCCCAACCCCTTGCCCCTTAACTCGAAGCACCGAACCTGATTCCTGAACCCTAAAACATAAACCCTAAACTCTAAACCCTAAACCCCAAACCTAAAGCCGCTGCTTCCAGGTCGAGTGCGAGGATGGGACGACGTTTGAGGTCACCCCGCGGAGGCTGCGCAGTTGAGCACCAGGGGTACCCGGTTTAGGGTTTAGGGTTAGGGTTTAGGGTTTCGGGTTTAGGGTTTAGGGTTTTAGGCTTTAGGGTTGAGGGTTCAGGGTTTAGGGTTTAGGGTTTAGGATTTAGGGTTTGGGGTTTGGGGTTTGGGGTTCCCAGAACCTCTATTGGTGCGCTGTAGGCAGGTCCCGGAACGGTCGATGATCTGAATCATGTGCCCTTTTTTGCTACGCCTTCCCCTAAACCCTAAACCTTAAACCCTAAACCCTAAACCCTCAACCCTAAACCCCTCGGAGCCAGGCTCAACCTCAAAGCGGAGCTGGTTCCTTCAGATCCGGCCCGCTTCCTTGCGAAACTCCGTGGCGAGCCCGACGAGGATGCCCGGAGCTTGGTCGGGGGGTACTGCGGTTGAGGATGAAGGCCTTGGGGTTAGGGTTTAGGGTTTAGGGCTTAGGGTTTAGGGTTTAGGGTTTAGGGTTTAGGGTTCAGGGTTCAGGGTTCAGGGGTTCAGGGTCTAGGGTTCAGAAGGTTGAGGTGTTGACTGACTGGGGTACAAGCACCTACCCCCCCCCCCCCCACCCCTGTTGCTTTTCTAAGTATAAGTGGACAAGTGGACTCTGCGTGAAGATGGGGTAAGAACCCCTTCACGAAGAAATTCCTTGTAGAATGGGAACCTACCTTAAATGGCAGGTATTGTGAACAGCAACTATGCATAGTTAAGGGAACTCTTACCTGAATAACTAGACTGGTACACCCAATTAGGCACCAGATAACTCTACTGCTACCCTACATCCGAAATCTTCCATGAGAGATTCGGGATTGAGAGAGTGAGAAGACTGGCAGCTCACTCCACTTTCGGCTTCAGTATTTGGGGTTGAGGGCATGATTCGGGGCTTAACTTTGTGGGTTCATCCAAGCATCTGCAGTGGCCCATGGCACTTCGAAGCATTACCTCGCCAGCTTAGTTTTTTGCCGGAAAAGGACGTGGCATTTTCGCCCTGAACTCTAAACCTTAAACCCTAAACCCTAAACCCTAAACCCTAAACCCTAAACCCTAAACCCTAAACCCTAAACCCTAAACCCTAAACCCTAAACCCTAAACCCTAAACCCTAAACCCTAAACCCAAAACCCTAAACCTAAAACCCTAAACCCTAAACCCTAAACCCTAAACCCTAAACCCTAAACCCTAAACCCTAAACCCTAAACCCTAAACCCTAAACCCTAAACCCTAAACCCTAAACCCTAAACCCTAAACCCTAACCCTAAACCCTAAACCCTAAACCTAGGGTCCACACTTCGTTCGGAGCTTCGGGGCTCCGAGGTGGGCACTGCGCCCGACAAGCTGAACCTGGCGGCCGCCCAGCTGAACTCCATGAAGGAGCACGAGTTCTGCCCCTGGGCGTGGACCTAGCACTTTGGGTTTTGGGTTTAGGGTTTAGGGTGTAGGGTTTAGGGTTTTGGGTTTTGGGTTTAGGGTTTAAGGCGTGGACTTAACCACTATTTGCTTAAGAACCGCCCAAAACGTTAAAGTAGTCTTCCATACAAGGGCAATATAGGGATTCTTAAGCAAAGAGTAATTGGTTAAAGCTTAGCTTGGGTGGACACTACAAACCCTAAAGCCTAAAGCCTAAAGCCTAAAGCCTAAACCCTAAACCCTAAACACTAAACCCTAAACCCTAAACCCTCAGTCTGGGGTGGACACTACAAACCGTAAACCGCACACTGCTTCAGAGATTTGAGTTCCGAGTTTGAAGAAAAGTCATGGGAAAGATAAACCCCAACTAAACCCTGAAGCCTAAACCCTAAAGCCTAAAGCCTAAGCCCTAAACCCTGAACCCTAAAGCCCTAAACCCTGAAGCCTAAACCTACACCCTAAACCCTCAACCCCCACTCCTCCACCACCCTGCACCTTGGAAGCAAACAGAGCAAGCCCTAAGCCACTTCAACTTGGGCTTTCTCCCTTACCCTAAACCCTAAACCCTAAACCCTAAACCCTAAACCCTAAACCCTAAACCCTAAACCCTAAACCCTAAACCCTAAACCCTAAACCCTAAACCCTAAACCCTAAACCCCAAACCCCAAACCCTAAACCCTAAATCCTAAAAGGTCCTTCATCGGGATTATAGTACTCCCCAGTACAATCCCCATAAAGGACTGCTAGTATAAGGGGGAACATCCCAAGCTTCAGCCCCTTAACCCTCAACTCTACCCCTAGGCCTCTCCACTCTGAACCGCAACCTCAACCTCCCTAAACCCCCCGGAATTAGCCGGACTTTGGGTTTAGGGGTAGGGTTTAGGGTTTAGGGTTTTAGGGTTTAGGGTTTCGGGTTTAGGGTTCAGGGTTTAGGGTTTAGGGCTCCTGAAGAGCCCTCAACAAGCGAAGGCAAGAACCCAGATCCCCGCGAGGCCCGGGGGCAGCGGAGGGAAGTTCCAGAAAAACTAGGACCCTATTCCCCTTTTTGGTTGGGGCGGGGGGGGGGGGGGGGGGGGGGTTCGGGGTTTAGGGTTTAGGGTTTAGAGTTTAGGGTTAGGGTCTAGGGTCTAGGGTCTAGAGTTTAGGTTTTGGGGTTTGGGGTTTGGGGTTGAGGGCTAGGACCCATAGTAGACCCTGATGTTTTTTTTTCCGGTTCTCTAATTAAACCGAAAAGGGTACCCTGCTTATTCCTAGCCCTAATAAGCCCTAAACCCTAAACCCGAAACCCGAAACCCTAAACCCTAACCTCAATTTCTGGGATTAATAAAACCCAGAAACTGAGGCGGCCACGGAAATCTTCAAGAAACGCAAGTCCGATCAACGTGTTCCTGTTTTGGACCGTGCAACACGCATTGGTCCCACAACTCGCGGCAATGCCAAGAATGGCGAAGCCGGAGAAGCTGATTGACGCCTTGTGACGCCCTTCTTCCGTCAGGAATCCCGTACACATCAATACAGTAAGATGACCCTAGACCCCAAACCCAAACCCGTAATCCCCCCTGTTTCATATAATTTCCCAAAAAGCCCATAATTTAAGACCCTGACCCAAGAGTAGCGCAGGGTTCCCTTTTTGGTGCAAAGGGGGTTGTAGGAACCGAAACCCCAAAACAAGGGAATGATTGCCTGCTCTGAGTTAGGGTTTAGGGTTTAGGGTTCGGGGTTTTAAGTTAAGGTTGCGGTTGTCAGTTGGGCCCTTGACCTTAAACCACAAACCCGAAATCCTCAAGAATTGGACCCTAAAGCCAGGAGAGCTTCTCCACCAACGCCTCCGTGCTGATGAGACACGCCGAGGGAACCCTTGTCCACTCCAAGGTGGGTCCCTAAACCCTAAACTCTCCTAAACCCTAAACCCTAAACCCTAAACCCTAAACCCTAAACCCTAAACCCTAAACCCTAAACCCTAAACCCTAAGCCCTAAGCCCTAAACCCTAAACCTAAACCCTAAACCCTAAACCCTAAACCCTAAACCCTAAACCCTAAACCCTAAACCCTAAACCCTAAGCCCTAAGCCCTGAGCCCTAAGCCCCTAAGCCCTAAACCCTAAACCCGAAAGTTCAGGGGTTCAGACAGAGTTGAAGCTTAAACACAGGGAGGCTCCAAGATGGTTAGAGAAGGGCTACTTGTGTAAAGGGTTTCAGGGTTTGAAGTTTAAGATTCAGGGAGACCCCTGCTTCGGGTTGAGGGTCTCATAGTTTACAGCAGCCTTGAGGCTTCAACCCCAAGCTGAAACCCTAAAAACCCCAAACCCCAAACCCTAAACCCTATACCCCAAACCCTAAACCCTCAACCCCAAGCACTAAAGACTTGAAGACCCGGAGCCTCACGTCATCCTTGATTCCTCAAAGCTGTGACATCCTGATCCCAAAAGGCTGTTTAGGGTTTAGGGTTTAGGGTTTAGGGTTTAGGGTTTAGGGTTTAGGGTTTAGGGTGAACTCTGAGCTTCCCGAAACAAAGAGAAGGCTTTAGGGTTTATTGTTTAAGGCTTAGGGTTAGGGTTTAGGGTTTGAGGTTCAGGGTTAGCAGCTGGTTGTTCGTATAGAACGAGTAGAAGTAAGGTAGCAGGCAGGTGGGCGGGCAGTAGTGGCAGTGGTGGTAGTGGTGGTAGAGGCAGATGAAGTGGTTGTGGCGGTGGTGACCAACCCTAAACCCTAAACCCTAAACCCTCAACCCTCAACCCTCAACCCTCAACCCTCAACCCTCAACCCTCAACCCTCAACCCTAAACCCTAAACCCTAAACCCTAAACCCTAAACCCTAACTGACACTTTTTTGGAAGAGCTGCCGGCATGGCGGTTGACTCAAGCTTAAGTCACACCCCCTCCCTGCCAACCGACCTCCGCTACTGGGCATGGCAATGATGCCCTTGACATCTGAGACCTGGTGGCTTAAGGGCACTTGCTTGCAGATTTTTTTTATTTTTTGTGTACTAGAATTCCTAAGTACTTGGAACTAGTTTTTAGTTTTTGGGTAGTAGAATTCCTAAGAAACAGCAAGAATGAGCATAGGTGGAACTTCATGCAGACGCACCACGCCTTTTTGGGCATCCTGTATTTCAACAAAGTCGACGAGGGGAAAGACTTCTCCTTGCTTGAGCGCCGTCTCTTCCTTGGGATGGCCATCTTCGCTGCCTGGTTCGGCGTGTACCTGAAGTACTTCTATCTCCGACGGTGGATCCCGATGTTTTTTGATGAGGTGCTGGACGACCTGCACCTCTTCCCTGGCGACTGGCTCGAGGACCACCTCGATTCCGCCGTCTGCTCGGCGCTGGGCGGCGCCGTCGACTTGCTGTTGGGTAAGGAAATCGTGCGCAGCGTGCTGAAAAAGGACTGGGAGACCAAGGGGGGAGTCAGAGGCTTCGCCTCGTCCCTGGCGACTGCGTACGCGGCGCTCCTGGTCGTGGGCGGCGTTGCCCACATCTTCTACGTCATGGTCTTGAAGCCGAAGCTGCAGTTCAAGCTCCTCTTGAAGCTAGGCCTTGTGGGATATTCTCAGATTTGAGAGGATCTTGTTTAGGATTATTTTGTTTCAGAGGGTCGGGGCCACCCTAAACCCTAGATTTAAGAGCCTCCGGCTCAAGCCGCCGACCCCGCAGGAGAACAAGTTTAAGGTTTGGGGTTTGGTGGATTGGGTTTGCGGTTCGGGTCTGGGTGGGGGGGTGGGGGGATGGGGGGGGGGGTGGGGCCAGCCTGGCGAGAAGCTGCCTGGGCGGTCCTTCGCAATGGGGGCGGGGGGTAGGGGACCCGCGTTTTGGGGGGTAAGGAGGAAAGAAAGGGTGAGGTTTTCACCTCCAGAAACCCATCCAACACGCCGCCAGGGTCGGCGGACCCAAACCCTCAACCCTCAACCCTAAACCCTAAACCCTAAACCCTAAACCCTAAACCCTAAACCCTAAACCCTAAACCCTAAACCCTAAGCCCTAAGCCCTAAGCCCTAAGCCCTAAGCCCTAAGCCCTAAGCCCTAAACCCTAAACCCTAAACCCTAAACCCCACATAAGGGCCCTCCTAGGAAGTGGGTGATCACCGTGGTGCTGAAGCTGTCGGTCGTGGAGACTGGCATCCTCACGGTCAAGGCCTTGGCGGCATCAAGAGGAGCCGCCAAAGATGAAGCGAAGAAGACATGATCCTCCGAAGGAGCCCCTAAACCCTAAACCCTAAACCCCAAACCCCAAACCCCAAACCCTAAACCCTAAACCCTAAACCCTAAACCCTAAACCCTAAACCCTAAACCCTAAACCCTAAACCCTAAACCCTAAACCCTAAACCCTGAACCCCAAACCCTAAGCCCTGAACCCTAAACCCTAAACCCCTTCTATGTGCTTCAGAACCGCCCCCAACATATGCTTCCTTATAAGGGCAAGTGAGGGATTGCAATCTTTATTTGTTGGGGAGGCTCTCCCCCCAACACCCTATCCTAATTGGTGCGTTAGGTTCCTTTCCATTGCTTCAGCAGATCTTTTCAGTGCAAGCCAAAGATTGCGTGATGTCGGCTCTCGCAGTCAGACAAGCAGGTGAAACGATTCGTGGCCTGTCACAAATGTTCAGTAAAAGAGGAGCGATCACCTAAGCGAGGTGCATATACACGGGGTCCTCATTATAAACCCTAAATCCTAAAGCCTAAACCCCGACAACCCCAAACCCTACGTAAGAATTAGGATGCATTCCCTGCACTGAGGGTTCTTGGGGTCTTGGGTAGCAGGAGGCTTTGGGGTTTAGCGCTTAGGGGTTTCACAAATGTTGTGTCATGACCTTGGGGGTATGTAACCCAAGGTCCCCTAATACCCCCCACTACTCCCTAAGGCTCCCTGAGCTTCCCTAAGGTCCCTAGGTATCCACTCCCCCACGAACCCTAAGAACCCTACAAGTCTAGCCTAGCTAGGCTCGAACCCCCAACCCCAAACCCCAGAATCCTAAACCTTGGGATGTTCCCCCTTATACTAACAGTCCTTAATGCCCCCCCCCCCCCCCCCAATTTTTATGCCTATGAAGACTGTTAGTACAAGGGGGAACATCCCAACCCCAAACCTTTTTGGCTTAGGGTGTATTAGGGTTCAGGGTTTGGGGTTTACGGTTTAGGGCTTTCAGGGTGGAGGGTGTAGGGTTAAACCCTGTGAACCTATGAACCCCATCAACCCTACAGACCCTATAAACCCTACAAACCCTCTAAACCCCCCCCCCATGCTCTATAAACCCGAAACCCAATAACAAACCCCTAAACCCCTAAACCCTAAACCCTAAACCTTAAACCCTATAAACCCCTCAACCCCAAACCCTAAACCCAAAGCCCTACATCCATCCGGCTAAACCCTAAACCCTAAACCCTAAACCCTAAACCCTAAACCCTAAACCCTAAACCCCAAACCCTAAACCCTAAACCCCAAACCCTAAACCCTAAACCCTAAACCCTAAACCCTAAACCCCAAACCCTAAACCCTAAACCCTAAACCCTAAACCCCAAACCCTAAACCCTAAACCCTCCTTTGCCCAGGGCGCCGGGGAGATCGAGCTCTTTCCGAGTGCGGCCCGGGCCTTGGATGTGTAGGGTTTAGGGTTTAGGGTTTAGGGTTTAGGGTTTAGGGTTTAGGGTTTAGGGTTTAGGGTTAGGGTTTAGGGTTTAGGGTTTAGGGTTTAGGGTTTAGGGCTTAGGGTTTAGGGTTTAGGGTTTAGGGTTTAGGGTTTAGGGTTTAGGGTCTAGGGTTTAGGGTTTAGGGTTTAGGGTCTCTAGCGGGCTTAGGGTTTAAGGTTCAGAGAGCTTAGCATGTCTTTCTGGTTTGGCTTGGGTTTAGGGTTTAGGGTTTAGGGTTTAGGGTTTAGGGTTTAGGGTTTAGGGTTTAGGGTTTAGGGTTTAGGGTTTAGGGTTTAGGGTTTAGGGTTTAGGGTTTAGGGTTTAGGGTTTAGGGTTAGGGTTTAGGGTTTAGGGTCTCTAGCGGGCTTAGGGTTTAAGGTTCAGAGAGCTTAGCATGTTTTTCTGGTTTGGCTTGCGGATGTCTGCAGGGTGTTGGGCTTACTCGAGGCTTTCATCAGCTTAGTTGCCGTGCGGCCGCAAGGTCAGGTTCTGCGAGACATGCCCTCTCTTTGTCGTAAGGTTGAGGGTTGTGGCTTCGGGCAAAGGCAGTTGGGCTTGGGGTTTTGGGGTTTCGGGTTCAGGGTTCACGGTGTAGGGGTCTGGGGCACTGTTTGAGCCCGTTAACTCGCAGATCACAGGCATCCTGCCTAGCCTCCCTTATGGCTCTGTTCCTTCGTCTTGGGGTCCTCTTCCCAGACCCCTGGGAACATCCAAAAAGTAGAGCCCAACCCTTAAGGGGATCTACTTTTTGGATCCTTTCAGGGGTCTGGTTTGGTAGCCCAGTGGTAATTGCCCTTAACCCGTTGTTTTTTGTTCCTTGTTCCCGTCTCTCCAGTAATCAACCAAAAAAAGGGATACCCTTATCATGACAAGGTTAGAAGGGCGATTAAATCCTCATCTCTGCATTTCCCTATGAGCCCTGTCAAAGTTGATCCTTATAGGGCCCGCACATTCAGCTCAGTGGGGGCAGATGCACCTGCGCCTGGTTTGTTGCAACCATAGGTGCCACCTCCTGCCACCGTCAAACCCTGCACTTAAACTAGGACAGGATGCCCAGTAGTACCCTTATTCCCTTTTTGGGGGGGTTTAGGTTCCCTTATGAATCCCTTTAAGCAAAAGGGCACCCTTTTTAATCCTCCTTGGACGCCCGGTGGCGTGGGCTTCGCAAGCTGCGTCCCCCCTTCTGAAATCTTAAAGCATCTTAGTAGCCCAGTGGCACCCTTTTCCCTTCTTTTCGGTTTAAGACTCCCTGATAGAGGAACCAACCCAAAAAAGGCTACCCTTATTCAAGGTGCAAGGCTCACGCCTTTGGATTTAGAGCTCAGGGTTTCAGGGCTTCGGGGGATTCAGGGTTCCGGGGGTTTCAGGGTTTCAGGGTTTTAGGGTTTTGGGTTTTGGGTTTAGGGTTCAGAGCTTTTTTGGGGTACAAGCCTTAGAAGCCTCAACCTTGGGATTCGTTCCAGGATGTTGCTCGTGTGGGCGAGCAGAAGGCTCTGAAGACGTTGCAGGACAGAAAATGCAAGGCGTCTGGCATGTGTCATGTCATTTGATAATGTGGTGCTCAGAAACCCTAGCAAAAATCTGTGTCAGGCTTAGTTACACACAGGCTGCTTCGATTCATGGAACCCGAACCCTAAACCCTAAACCTAAACCCCTAAACCTGTGATGAGAGGCCGTGCTGGAACAGGGTTTTAGGGTTTCAGGGCTTTAGGGTTTAGGGAAAGGGCCCCAACAATCTTAGTAGTAGAGTAAGTAATCGGAAACCTTTTTGGGGTAATATAATCCCCTTTAAATCCAACCTTTAGTTCGCCTAGGATACTGGTCACCTAAGAAATGCACCACAGGGGTCGTTGTCTAAACTCGGGCCCCTTTTGGCGGCCGTGCCATATACAGCACCCCAAAAGTGACTTAGGGTTTAGGGTTTAGGGTTTAGGGTCGAGAACTCCCAGATCGCGGCCATAGGGAGGTCGAAAAGGCGCCTACAAAAGCCCTTTCCTTGCACTTTGGAGCCTTAAGATGCTTAGGGTTTAGGGTTTAGGGTTTGGGGTTTGGGGTTTGGGGTTTGGGGTTTAGGGTTTGGGGTTTAGGGTTTGGGGTTTGGGGTTTGGGGTTTGGGGTTTAGGGTATACGGCGTTGGGGAGCTCGGGCTGGGTTGTCATGGCACCCCGAAACCTATCTCAGCGTCTTTAGTTTTTAGTCTTTATGGTTTTTGGGTTTCGGGTTTTTGGTTGAGTGTTTAGGGTTTAGGGTTTAGTGTTTAGGGTTTTAGCCCGCAACCGTGTTTAGGGCTTGGTTTACAACACCCCCTAGACCCCCAAAGACCCCTAAACCCTAAACCCTAAACCCTAAACCCTAAACCCTAAACCCTAAACCCTAAACCCTAAACCCTAAACCCTAAACCCTAAACCCTAAACCCTAATTAAACCCTAAACCCTAAACCCTTTTTTCCCCCCAAAGAGGACAGCGGCACTGTCTATGTTGCCCAAGTGGACTACGACCGCGTCTTCCTGCGCGACGAGGATGGCAACCACTTTGAGGCCGAAACCTTTCAGAGTTCAAGGGACTAAAGGAGGGACCCTTACAAGGGACCGTAGGAGTTATTTGGGGGTTGTTTAGGGTTTAGGGTTTAGGGTTTAGGGTGAGGGGCTACTTTGGTTTATACAATTACAAGGTATATATTGTGGTTGTATAGGGAATAAGGTTAAGGGTCCTTTGTGGTTGTCCCTCCTTTTCCCCTTCAAGATTCAGCTGCGGGTTCAGGGCACCAGAGCTATGGTTAGGGTTTAGGGTTTAGGACTCACGGGTACGAGGGGCGCCGCCCGAAAAGCCGAAGCTCTAAGCCCCAGACCCTCAACCTAAACTCGAAACCCTAGACCCTAGACCCTAAACCCTCAACCCTAAACCCCAAACCCCAAACCCTAAGCCCTAAGCCCTAAACCCTAAACCCTAAACTCAAAGGTTCGTGGTGACCAGTCGGTGGACTTCAAGTTGGTCGTCTCCATGGGTGATGACTTCGCCTCGCCGCGATGCCGCTGTGGCGGAGCATTGGGGGTTGTTCAGGGTTTAGGGTTTGGGGTTTAGGGTTTAGGGTTTGGGGGTTTAAGTTTAGGGCTCAGGGTTTAGGGATTTCGTGTTTAGGGAGTCTTCAAACCGTTGTGGGAGCCTTCAGCGCAAGGCACCTTCAACCCCAGAGGTTAACTTTCTTGCTTTGGAACCCCTAAGCCCTAAACTTTGGAACCCCTGACCTCTCAACCCTAAACCCTAAACCCTGAACCCTGAACCCTAAACCCTAAACCCTAAACCCTAAACAAGCCTTGGGGTTCCGGCATTCGGAGGCGTGAGGTTCCTGGGACCTTTACAGACGACCCTCTATTCTTTGTGTCTAGGCTCCCTTTCAGCTTCTTTCATACAAGGGTTTGGGGTTTAGGGTTTGGGGTTTAGGGTTTGGGGTTTAGGGTTTGGGGTTTAGGGTTTGGGGTTTGGGGTTTGGGGTTTGGGGTTCGGGGTGTAGGGTCTGGGGTTTACGGTGCAGGGTTTAGTGGGGCCCACACCTCGTGT